TAAGAGATATTGAAGTGGACATAATTATAGAAGTTTTTTATCATCACTAGATCTGTCACTTTCGTTATCACCACCGACAGAGGTATACAGTTCAAATTATCATTTTTCTCGAAATTTGCGAACATTATAGGAGCACAAAAAATCAGGACTATGTCGTATCACTGCCAGTAAAGTGGAAAGGTTGAAACTACTTAAGTTGTAAATTTAAGGTAATCCTAATGTGTAATCCAAATATCCTCTGGATACAACTCTTGTGACTATGCTTCTAAATTTACACAGCCTTTAAAGAGAACCTTGGCGCTGCATCAGAAATGCTCTTTAACGAGTCATTACGGCATAATTTCTTACAGCCAAAGATGAATCATTGTATCACAACTCCTTTTTGTATAAGCTTAATAAACATTTCCATACCATTAATACTAAACCTACCACGTGCTGTGAAATGACCGTTTTTAAAATTTCGTCTAAGATTTCCTGTATACAACGTTATTGTATTGCCATTTAACATTATGACTTTTCCTATATTAATATATATACAACCCATTTTTCAATATTCCCAACTTTTTTTATTGTTCACTATCTGAAAAAAATTCGTAGCCTGGCTGGCCTATCACGAGTGGTCATTTGATGACCTGCACAGTTCATGTTATTTACAACGAAATTGTCTGGAAACGCATTTCTAGAATTTTTTTAAAAGTCTATTGTCTTTGTCTTCTATATCATCTTATCCACTATGTAAAGAAATACGCAATTCGAAAAAGTACCTAGCCGTCTTTGTGCGACAGTACGATCTTGTGATCCTATCATAAAGCATTAAAATTCCACAGTTCTATTACGTATACGGAGTGTATAACAGAGTGAATTACGTGTTACAAATGGTGGTTTCAACAAAATGAACAGAACTAACAATATTTTGTAATTGGATTAAAATTTGAACTTTTCTCTATTTATGTATCCATTTTTTACCTTTCATCAGTTTGGCTTATATTTTTATATTTTAGTTTTTACTTTATTATTTGTATATTCATCCCAAAAATGTCTAGACAATCAAAAAATATCAATTTATTCGACGAAATATATAATATCGACGAAGATTGTTCGGAAAATGACATAAAAGTCTAATAGCGGATCTATAATATTTTCAGGGAAACATCAGGATCGCCTGGCTACACTAAACGAAATATTAGAGAAAAGTGTCGAAATTTCCGTTGATTGTTGATCATAACACAATCGAATGACTTAATGTGCATAAGAAAATGCATGCAATTAGAAGCATTTCGAGTTTTGAAAACAACATGGGATTTATCTATTACAATATTATATGTATTTATTGGACTTCTGTAAACACGCGGCGCACATAAGGTAGCATACAAAAACATATCATATTTATAGAACAATAAATGGAACCAAAAATTTTTCTCGACAACTATGAGTTGAAATAACTACATAAATTATAAGGTTTATTCGGTTTAATAATAGAAATCAACGAAACGAACTCCTACAAACCAATAAATTCGCTTTGATATCTGGCACAAGTATATCAAGAGCAGACAAAACTGTAATAAAGCAAGACAATATCTTTCTATAGATGAACAATTGTTTCCAACAAAAGCACGATGTAGATGTATTCAATACATGCCCAATAATGGTACCTTCCATGGTACCTTATTGAAGAAGTAACACCTCTACTTTTAGCGTGGAAAAATAAAAAGACCGTCACTTGATTGACAACTAGGGATTGACAACTTGGAATAACTTCCGTAAAAGGATTTAACGAAGTGGTATGAAAGTTAATATCAAAAAACCTAATACTATAGTAAATTATATAAATTATATGAGTGGCGTTGATCGAGCAGATCAATAAACTTCGACATATTGTTTTCTCCGAAAACCCGTGTTAAAAAAAAATCGTAAACATTTTTTTGGGCTTGGAAATTTGATTGATTAATTCGTACATACTCTATAAATTTGAGAAGAAGAAAAGAAGGGAAAGACTAACTCATTAACGCAATTTAAAAACAGTTGTTCATCAATGAAGAGAAAATTATCGCCAGCCTCGTGATCGAGCGTCGACGTCAAGCATCAATGAATCCTGAATAAATGGAAAGATCCACGTTGTTCTGAAAGGAGTGAAGAGGGACTGTAAGATCTGCTCTAACTGAATTAAGACTGTATTTCTGGCTGTATATCTGAAACCTCAAATTATTGTAATATGTGCCCTAACAAATTGAAGATGCATCTCGGGCATTGTTTTATAAAATTTTATATAAAAACAAAAAGAATATAATATTTAAAGTTTTGTAAAGCGTAGAAATAAAATTTTATTATTTGAATACGTTTGTTTGAGTATAAATCATTTGAAAGTACTTATAAAACATTTACCTAATATAACCAAAATCTTCTCAAGTTGCTAGTTGATTAAGCGACAATGTTCTCGAGTGCAACGGGTTAATGTGTGCAATAGTACAGTGCGTAATATTTTACGAGTTGCTTAATGTCATGGGAGAGTAGCCCGTACAAAATATTTCATAAATGAAGTTAATAGAAAGAAACGATTAGAATTTGCGAAAGAATATGTTAATATTCCTATGAAGTAATAAAAACTTTTTATATTAAGTGTTGAAAGTAAATTTAACATATTTGGTTCGGAAAGAATATGTACTATATAGAGAAAAAAATACCGAATCGGAGACAAACAATTTGCAACGGGAGGAAGGTAGATCATAGTTTGGAGCTACATAAATGAAAACGGAATTTGATCATTCTATTTTATAGATGATATGAACGAAAAATTGTATATGTAAATTTTAAAACATCTTCAAGCAATTGTAAATAAAACTGGATTACAACGCAACTATGTGTTATAGATTATGATTCAAATCATAACGCTTAAAATATTTCACGAAATCAAATCAATTAAAAATCCCACCACAGTTTGAAGACTTAAAAGTTATAGAACACTTATGGGATTATCTCAAAGAAAAAATTGATGACATTGTTAGACATGCATACCAACAAGTGAACTACTATTGTCCGGACCCAGTATTTTATAAAGCATTAGGTAGGATTTTGAACGATTCTTAGTAACCCGATCAAAAAGAATACGATTCAGATATCAACTCGGAGGATTTATTCGATCCGTCCTCGTGTTCTGCGCCTCAATTGGAAGATATATTGAAAGATTCGCAAAATTTAGCAAAGTCATGCGACCAGATTTGCGCCGTGCCACGACTAGAATTATTGAAACTCCCTAAATGTAGGGACTTGATGCTGGGACGGGCACATGTAACTAATTTAGGAACAAAATATGAATACCTTTATCGGTCAAAGAGATAGATAACGTTATATTGCATACCAAAATACTAAATTTAATTCTAGAATCACTTTTATCGTTAATGCGGGAGCTGTGTGATCCAATCGATCAGTATATCACAAACAAGTGTGATTGACAACTGGCCATACATTCAACAGAGAGTGGGAGAGCTATTCGACCAGGAGACTTGGATGATATGCATATGCAAGAACATAGTAAGGATACTTGAGGAGCATGAGAGAGAGAGAGAGAGAGAGAGAGAGAGAGAATGATACGCGAAAACCATTCGTTGGAGTTGGACGATCATAAAGGGTTTATGAAAACATTTAATATAACGGCAGAGATATCTAGGGGAGCAAATGAAGGAACAAATCCAGATGTTCATTCAAAACTGTGTCTAGATTGCCAGTTAAAAAAATTAGTCGTGATTAAGGGTAAACAGCTTATGATATTTATTGACACGTACGGAGCTGCGACAAAGTCGCGATGGATGTAGTGAGTATAGATATATTTTATCAATATAGAATCCGCTCACAATATAGGATCCAATATAGGAAGCACTCCATCACTGTACCCTTCTGCAAAACCACCCCTATAGATATTGCGAGCGCAATGATTACTCATTAAAACCTTTCGCTACGGGCGGGTTATCCGCCGCGGTACTTCCGCTGAACGGAGCGCCGCGACATCGCTGCACGTTACGCGACGCCATAGATGCCTTCAGTAGCATCTTATGGAGGACCACTATAGTGGCCTGTAGTACGTCAGTGGCATCTTATGGAAGGCCATTATAGTGGCCCGTAATAAATCTGTATATAGGTAATTATATAGGTACTTATATAGTAAGTATATAAGTTGTATTTGAAATACCCTGACGCGATTATAAAAGTGTAGTAAATGCAGGACCACTATAGAAAGAAGAATAATAATTATGAAAAAAAAATTGGAATCATGTTTGTATCCATATAGATGTGTATGTATCAATGCTTGGTGCATCCTGATAAACTGAATTTTTTAGACACAATACAATGTAAAGTGTTCAAAGCACAAGTAAGACTCTGCTATACTTTGTGAACTGGCAAAGTAGATTTTTGAGAAAGTTTTGTCATTAACACTTTAACGACCGCATGTCTATGCAGTCGAACGTCGCCAGGGGCCGGCAGTATTTTTGAAGAATTAATTTTTAAAGAACTTTATTAAATTCACGAAAAAGTTAACATAAAACAAAAAACAACAACAATTTAACAACAAATTTAATATTTCTCCTTTGTATGACAATTATTATAGCAATCACCTACATGTAATGGTATTTTACATGTCTTACACATATAATATGTAGGTTTTCTAATTTTATTTGCATAGCAAACATGGCAATCCCTTCGTACACACTTTTTTATTGCCGATATTTGAACTAATTGATGTTTTATTCTTCCAGTTAATCTTTCCACTGGATTGGAACGAACGACGCGAGATGTAGTAGGATCACCATCATTAGTTTTAATCCACGCAGTTCCTAATTTAATTAAAAGATGTGGTAATTTAATTTCCGAATGTGCTCCTTGTCCAAATGTCGATATGTACAGAACGAGTTAAATATGGCACAATTTATGAAATATAAAGAAACTTTCTTGGTCCACTTTCTTGTTTTTCTATAAATGGGGTAATAACTCAAGTATTGGTCCGCGCGGTCGACCCCTTTTATATACCGGTTGTAGTCTATAATGCATTTTGGTTTAAAGATTGCATCACCATTTTTATTCTCTTTCCCGGTATCAAAAATATCTGCATTATATGAATAGTTGATATCATTCCAATGTCCCTTTTTTTATTAGTTTTATATAGCTGCAGCAATATATTACCCTGACGAGCAAATATGGTTTCCATCACTTTTAATTTAGCTTTATTAAAGAATTCTGGTAAACCCCGATGTACCCTAATTATTCCGCATAGTCTGATTTTATACAAAACTAATATTTTTACCAAATTTACACTATTGTATAAATTGTCCATATATACGTGATGCCACTTATTGAAGTAGTTTTTTAACAAATCCATTACAGTTTTCTCTATTTTTTGTCCCGTACCGGAATATAATTTGAAGCCCAATATGTAACCAGTAACAGAAGCACATACCATTCTGACAAGTAAATCGTATTTAGTTATTTTACTTGGATTGTATACTTTGAAATTGAGTCGTCTGCGCCACGGTATCATGCCCTCATCGATGGATATATTCTGTCTTGGAAAAAAGTTCTCTTCAAATTTTTTGGAAAAGTAATCGAGAAAATATTGCACTTTGTACAACCTGTTAGCGTTTGGAGGCATTTTTACGTTGTCAGAAAAATGTAAATATGTCAGGATTTCTCGAAACCTATTACAGCTCATGGTTTTTGAAAAAATTGGTGTTTCAATGATAGGGTTAGTGGTCCAATAGTCGCTAATTCTTGCCTTTCTAATTAACCCCATAATTATTACTAATCTAAAAAAATTGTTTAGTTGAAATATCGTAAAGCCACATTCCGCATTTTTTCCCTCTTTTAAATTTCCTGTAATTCTGTGCATGATATTTATTTTTTTCTACCGCGATGAACTCTAGAAGATCATCTCCGAGGAAACAATTTACGACGTTTTCAACCGGATCACAGTGGCTGACGCTAACACGTAATCAGTGTGACGGTAGCATCACACACATGTTGTGTGAGCGGTCGTTAAAGTATTAAAATCGCTAATTTCTTGTTGCTCGTTAACGGAGCCAAAGTGAGAAACTCCTCTGAGCCAAAAATTATTTAGTAAGATTGTAATTCTAAGGATAATTCTATATAATATAAATTCTATATATAATAATTGGAAAAAATAAAGTTGTATAAATAAGATCTGATTTATTATGCATAAACTTGTTTTTTAAATAAATTAGGGGTATCAATTATACTTTTAATATAATTATTTTTGAGGACTCATGAAAAAAATATATTTAATAATATCCTTTCAAACTGTGCACTTCTTATCATTCGAAATATTAATTAACTTATTACCGATTTTAAACATTTTTTTATGTGCTGGAAAAGTGATTGTAACAGTTGATTTGTTTTACATTTTTATAAGATGTAATATTTTTCGTTGTTGTTATATATGAAATTGATTCTAAAAAATACTTTAATAAACGATAGTTTTTAAGCAACGTAATGTGCATTACATATTTTTTTTGTGACATGCAAAGTGAATGCTATTTATGTATAATTGTAATAGGAAAGGTTAGTAACATTATTATACAAGGTTTGATGCTTCAATATTTTTAATAGTTATTTAAATAATTATGTTCCATTATAGATTACAATGTTTAATATTTCTTTGATATACATTTGAGTCACACCATTAACCGTCTTTAAAAATATTTTATTTTTATCTTCTGTCTCTTTTTTTTATTTTGACTAGTCTCGAATTTATTAGAGAGACTTGGGAACCTGGGTCATATGTTCCGTTTACCTCTAACTTCTCTTATAATACTATCTTTACTTTGATCAATGGTGTGGTTATTCGTTTTTTTTGTCCCCTGCATATATCTACTTCTATCATCGAATTGTTTCCATTTATTTTGGTTTCCTTTCTATTTTCCTATTTGAACCAACAGGAATCCTCTGAATGATATCTAATATCTTTGTTTAGTTTTTCACAATTCTTATATGGTTTCTTTTCTTCAAATTTCTTCTTATTATCTTGTCTTTCCTCTTTCTTTTTTGTAAAACTGTTCTTACTTACTAGATTTTCACATTTTTTTATTTCTTGTAGTAATTCTGTTGGGCTTTGACAATTTTCTCTATCTATTTTATCTCTTATGAATTCTGATAATCCTGCTGCTATAAACATCATCAGAGTCTTTGTACTGATATTGTTGTTCATGTCCAGTAGAAGTTTTTCTTTCCTCATAGCGTACTCTATTAGTGAACCTTCTTTATATCTGTAGGATATAGTGTATATACTTGTACTCCATCCCTTGTCTGCAAATGATTTCAAAAATTTCTGTTTCCATTCGTTCCAACCAGCCGCCCTTGTCAATGCTGTTAGTGTTGCTGAGTGCCAGTCTAAACATGCCCTGTCAAGAAATAATCTTAAAATCTCAATTTTCGTGTTATCTTCTTTAATTTCGAATCTTCGACATTCTTTTTCAAATGTCTCTAACCATTGTTCTGCATTTGAGTGTTTACATACAAATTTTTCAATCATGAATTTTTCTGATATACACTTTAAATCTATTTGGTATTCTTTCTTCTGTGTGAGTTCTACTATGTTTGTTTCTAATATGTTTGTTGTTCTACTATGTTGTTTCAATTGTTTTCACTATTTTTTCTAGATATAGATCATAAAACATTATATTGTCATCTTCATCAAAATACGTACTGTCCATTTCCTGTGTGCATTTAATCCATATTTTTCTTTCTTGCCCTCTTTGATTGAGGCTTTTTTTCATTCTCTTATAGCTTTCTGTTTTTGTTAGTTCGTTGTGGTTACTTGCAAATTTTTCATTTTCTGGCAACATATATTTTTTATTGTTCTCAGTTGTGATAGAGGTCATAGCTATCACATTTGTCTTTCTGTCGCTTGGTGATGCCACAATTTAAATGCGAATTGTAGTTTTCTTGCCATTATAAACCAAAAATTGTCGAAAGTGTTAATATACAAATTCGAGTCATCGCGCTATATTCTTACAGATCAAACCAACAACTTCCTAAATTCACTGATAAAAGCAATAGCGAGGAAGTTACGAATTAAGCTATATAAAACAACAACATTTTATCCGCAATCTAATGGGTCGATCAGAAGATCACAACACGTATTAATGAAATATTTTAAACAATTTACAAATAGAGAAAAAGAATGGGATGAATGGCTGGATTGTTCTCTTATAATACCAGCATTCACGAAAAAACACGCTTCTTGCCTCACGAACTTGCTTTCGGGAGGATAACTCGAATACCGACGTCAGATCCATTCTTAGAAGAAAGCATGTACCAAACATCTCTAGAGTACTATATCAAGTTAGTTAAGATTAATTATATGCAAGAGGTAGCGCGATGGAATCTTAGGAGAACCAAAAAGATGTCAAAAAATGATGTCAAAATATTATGACCGCAAGATAAATCTTTAAACATTAAAAGGAGACGAGGTCTTTTTGTTGAAAATATTGATCTCCATCAAAATTTGGAGTTCGATATAAAGGTTCGATATAAGATACTAGAACTGCTACCTCAAAATAATGTTAAATTATAGATGGACGGAACAACAAAAATAGCGAATTGTAATAAACTAAAAATATTTAAAGATAAGTCGAGTAACATTCTATTTCAGAACTATGCAGGCGTTAGCGATAACGACAATAATCGTATGTTCGGCCAAAATCTGCTTCGCCTTGCTAGGATATGATTGTAGAGGAGCATCTATGAACATCATGACTCTAGAACACGGAGGACTGCAATATCCCCATGCAAACGCCGAACTCCATGGAAATCTATAACCAGCTCGTCTAGCTGGCAGAATACGAACAGACAAACGTCGATTAACCTTCGAATCGGCAAGTGTGGGAGTAATCGGACTTTCACAATGATCAAAGAGATCAAACTCTGCGTGGACGCAATAATCAGAGGGTATACACTTCATGTGGTATACGGTTGGAGTGTGCATCTGCTAGGAGCTCCTTAATGCATCTTCTCTTCGTCAACCATCACCAGGAAACCATAAAGAGGTTATTGAGGGTATTCTGCGAATAGCAATGATTCAAGTGCAAGCATAAATAATGACCAGCCAGTGATAATGAAAGGAAGTGATGTGATTCCAACCCCTGCATCAAGGAAATCAGTAAGGTACCCTATATTAGAGAAAATAATAGATGCGCACTCAGAAAACGTTTTGAAGAACAAAATCTCCGGACGACTTACTTAAGGGGGGAGATGTCACGTTTTCCTACCTTTATGCTTAAAGTACGTCGTGGTGGCAGGAAATATCTATTACGTCGGTTATTGACACGTACACTCCGGCGCGGGCCACCGGTGACCCGCACTAGATTGTCTCATCGGATAGCGCGGGTCACCGGCGGAACGCATTCTATTGTGTTCTGAAGTATTAGACTATTATATACTGAAAATTAAAATAATGAAAGTTTAACGTCTATTCATTAAAAACATTTATTTTTAATAATAATTATAATTAATAATGTATCAGAAACATAAGTTTTGTTCAATAACATAAACATAATTATACAGTATTATAAAAAAAACACAAATACGGTAAAAATAACATAAAATCTGATACTGTTTTATTTATAACTTCATTATTTATTATTTTTTATGTAATTTGTTAAAACATTTCAAGCAAAGTTTTGGCTGACCCTTGCAATGCCAGGGTGAACAGGCAATAATCACGCGCTGCCAGATGAAGCGCGATATTAATTCGAGCGCCGCCTCATAAGAAAACAAACGAAAATTGACCCCGGCGTGAACGTGTTAGAGGAATTCTAACATAAAACGAAAAATTACAACGACGTACTAAGTGTCGAGCCCGTGGAAGAGAAGAAAGAGAACCTTCCACCGTACCGCTTGATGCCCTTGCAGCCATCCAGAATGTGGATTCCCCTCAGTGGACCTTCCTGTCTTGGTTCCTAGAACTCCGAGGTATTTTGAAATAAGGCTTCAGTATGGAATCCAGTCTGGAATCACTCTCCCAAGAGATAAGAGAGCGTTTGCAACGTCGCTTCGACATTCTGTTTGGTGCCGATCTCGAGCCAGAAGAACTGCCCAGGCAGGTAATTGCCGAAAAGGCACAAGATCTCGTGAAAGTCGGAGCTCCTTAGAAAATTAGTTTTAAGGTCCGTGCCTAGTGAGACGTAACATATTTAACCCTTTGAGTGCTATGGGCGCACGTATGTGTCCAGTGAAAGCTATCGATATAGACTATGGACGCAAATACGTGCTCGGCAGATGCGATAGTAGTATGGACTATGGACACAAATACGCTCCTGGCAAAAATGATCAGTGTACTATGGTCAAATGTATATGATCGGCAATTGTTTCTCGTATTAATACTTGGAAAGACACATCAATATGTGAGATGTACGGATTTTTGGCTATCACGATGTTAATGTCGCGGATGAAGAAATTGACTCTAAAAGAATATTGGTCAACCGATGACATGTTAAAAACTAATATTTTTCGAAGAACTATGGTGCGATACATGATATTATTGCAAATGTTGCATTTTAATGATAATAATGTACAAAGTGATGATTCATTGATAAAAATACAACATACAATTGATACTCTGAAGAACTCTTTTTTACAGTCATTTTACCCGTACAAAGATTTGTGCATTGACAAAAGTCTTATGTTATTGAAAAATCTGTTATTTTAAACAATTTATTCCGTCCCAAAGAAGTAGATTTGGTATCAAATCATTTATCCTGTGCGACTGCACAACAAACTATGTATTAGATTATATAGTATATATCGGAAAAAATACAGATATTGTACATAATTCTACAACCATTGGGCAATCAGCAAATGTTGTTATGACATTTTTACATCCATACCTTGAAAAGGGCCATACATTGATACCAGATAATTGGTCCACAAGCCCGCATTTGTATAATGTACTTCATAAGCATAAAATTAATGCGTTTGGGACAGTACGGAAAAACAGAAGAGATATGCCCCATATTGAGGGAAAATTGACAAAAGGGCAATTTGACTACAGATGTACAGATAATTTATTGGCATTGAAGTGGCGAGATAGAAAAGATGTATGTATATTATCAAGTGCTCACGAACCGAAAATGAAAGAATCTGGTCAAAGAAATTATCTTACAGGATCGCCCAAGTTAAAACCAGAATGTGTTGCAGATTACAACATCAAAATGGACTCTATAGACCACGTTGACATGGTTCTAAGTGCAATTAATTCATACAGAAAATGTCTAAAGTGGTATAAGAAGTATTTTTTCCATTTAGTAGACATCTCATTATATAAGTCGTATGTCCTGTATCAATGTGTGACTGGTAAAAAACTACAATATAACGATTTTCATCTGTCACTAATTAAACAACTTCTGCAAAAATACCTTCAAAATAGAAAACAAGCGGGCGGTGGCAAAAGAAGCGTAGAAAACTTACCATTTCGTTTGACTGAGAGACATTTCCCTTCAAAAATTTGAAATGCAGAGAAAAAATCGACAAGAAGGAAATATCTTGTCTGTAGAAGACAGCAAAGAACGAAGGATACACTATATGAATGTAAAAAATGCAACGTCAGATTATGAAATGATACTTCTTTTTGAGATTTATCATACGCAAATCAATTATTAATTTTGTATTAAATGTTAATTTCTTAAAATATATATATTTGAAGCCTTTCCATGATTATATATAATCCTTCTTATAATTTGTTTAATTTTCTGATTTTGAATATCCAAATACATTATAATTATCAAATTACTGGGATTTCAAATTCTAGCAAGTAAGTAAACAGTACATATTGAAAATAAAAATGTTTTCATTCAATGTGAAATAGACAACGGAATAGTAATTGGATTGTATACTATATTATAATGTGTCATACACGTCAACGAGATCCACACTGCGCGAAAAAGTATTTAATCCCCGGCGATCGTCAGCGCCAGCCACGCGCCGTCCGTACGGACTGCATAGGCCACAAGTATTCTGCACTCAAAGTGTTAAACCGGATTTCACCTCGTTCGAATCTTTATTGCGGGAAATAGTAACCGCACAGCGACAGGTAGACGATACGCGGAGCGGCTCACGAGAAGCACGTGATTTATCAATATGCGTAGCCGTGGACGCTGTTTCGACCTACGATAAACGAAATATAACATTAAATAATTTTATTCGAGCATGCAAACACGCTCGTGAATTAACACCGCCAAATAGCGAGGCAACAGTAATTCGCCTCATTATGAATAATCTCAGTGGTTTAACTTACATCGTCGTAGAAGATCGGGAAATATTTACACTAGACGATCTGGCCGAATTAAATAACATCTGCATGGAACCTGACAAGCACATCTTGCAATACATAAGTAAAGTTAAAGATTTACAGCAGGCAATTTACGAGGAAGAGATTCTTAAAGCTAACGAGTTATCGGCAGAGAAAATTAACGAGATAGAGGAATTTACACTGGTAAGCTTCTGCGAAAGTTCCACGAGATTACAGGATAGAGATCAAACCAACTACGTGTAGGGACATATTCAATGCATACAAGAAAGCACAGGAACATTATCTGATGATCAAGCAGGACCGGCTACGTCACCAAAGATATAAATAAACCAAATTTCATAGGGATAGACCGTTAAACAGTAGTACAATGGAGATTAGGGATAGACAGTCACGAGAGATAAATTTCAAGCCGACGCCAAAATTTTGTGCGCACTGCAACAAGATCGGTCACGTGAAAGAGGAGTGCTATAAAACAAAGTGGGAAAGACAGAACGGACCGCACGAATACTCGTATAGGGATCGTCCTCCATCTTCCCTGCAACCCGACGAACAACATGGCATACCTAATTCCTATGCTCCGAGGAAGGAATGCAAATATTGCCAAAATCTGGGTCACACAATCGAAGAATGCCGGAAAAAGATGTGGCACGAAAGGAATTCGGGAAACGCAATGTCCTCCCCGGGACTAAACGCGACGCGGGGAAACACCACACAAACGCGTCCAGTGAAAATCGTAACTACGGAAATCCCGTCCACATTCACACAATTAAACTAGAGAATAACCCGGAAAAACCAGCGGTGAAAATAATCTCCAAAGATCTAAAAAAAAAAAGAAACAACATTTTTAATCGATTAAGACTCCAAGCCAAATGTATTAAAAATTTAGAAAGCCGACGATGAAATCCTCGTTGAGGAATCAAGAAAAATAAAATTAAGTGGAATTACCGACGAGATTATTTTGACTTATAACTTTCGCACTATTGACCTATTTGGATATTCGGTGAAATTTTATCTCGTACCCAACTCCTTTCCGATTCCTCATGGTGGCATTCTCGGGACCGATTTCCTCAACGAATCTGTAGAAATCAACTTTTTAAATAAAAGCGTAAGATGTGGAAAAACGTAAAGAAAACAATCGCAGCCAGAACATGCGATCTGTTGAAAATAAACGTTTCAAATACAAATATAAAAACGGTCTACGTTCCGTTATTAAACTTGGGAGATGGCATCTACGCTTGCAAAGCAATTGTATCTAATGTCGATGGACATTCGAATACAAGAGTCTTTAATACTCAGAAGGATGTGGAATAAGTTTAAGTTCCTAGTCAAAATAGAAGTCAAAATAGAAGTCAAAATAGAAGAATTCGAAATGGCCGATGAAGCGAATGACTCCGTATTAGGGCGTGACTCACACGCTTCCGACAACATAGAGAGTGCTTCTTACGAAAACCCATGCAGGCATAACATAAAAGAAAACGCAGAAAATCTAAACCGAGAAATATCTTCCGATCCCTCTTTTCTCCGTACAAAACTTTCTCACTTTGAACGACCCTGCAGAACGATCTCCAAAATAGATGAAAATCGTTACAGACAAATACTAGAGTACATAAATTTAGAAACGTTGAATAAAGAAGAAAAAGGAGTAGCGAAAGAAATGATTAAAGACGCTTTAGACCTATTCTACTTAACAGGCAATAAATTAACACATACGCGATCTGTTAAACATGCTAGGCACAACACCGGTATATCGATTCCCGCCGATCCACAAAGAAGAAATTAACAAACAAATAAACAAGCTAAAGAATGAGGTGATACGACCATCGGTGTCACCCTATAATTCTCCTTTATGAATCGTACCAAAAAAAGCAGAATCAAATGGAAACAAATGTTGGATATAACCGAAATTCTAAATCATCTGAGTAGCGTTAAATATTTCAGCACTATTGACTTAGCTTCAGGTTTTCATCAAATCGAAATGAATAAAGACTACACACAGAAAACAGCATTTTCAACACCTCATACGAGCACTACCAATTTACTCGCATGCCCTTTGATTTAAAAAACATACCACGAACGTCTCAAAGGCTGATGAATTCCGTTCTCTCCGGATTACAGGCAAGCGAAATGTTTGTTTATTTGGACGATATAGTTATATATTCGAGCTCCTTCAACGAACACGTCAATAAATTATAAAAAACTCTCATATATGTTAAGAGAGACAGGACTCAAGTTACAACCAGATAAGTGCAACTTTCTCTGAAAAGAAGTCGCTTATCTGGGACACATAATAAGAGCCTTAGCGGTGAAACTTGACGGGAAAAATCAGTGCAGTAAAGGAATTTCCGACACCACGAACAGTAAAGAATATTAAACAATTTCTACGGTTAGCGCGATACAACAGACGTTTTATTCCTATCTTTTCCGCTATTAGTCGATCTCTGACGAATCTGCTAAAGAAAGACGTTCCATTTAAGTAGGAAGAGAGTCACGACCGCGCATTTAGCCACTTATATAACCTTTTATGTAAGGAACCTCTCCTTCAATATCCTGACTTTTCCAAACCATTCATAGTAACTACAGACGCTTCAAAATTTGCCATAGGCGGAATTTCGAGTCAGGGAGAAATCGGGCAAAATTTGCCCGTCGCTTACACACCGCGTTTATTAAATCAGGCCGAGCAAAATTATTTAACATTAGAGAAGGAATTACTCGCCATAATATACGCAGTCAGTCATTTTCGACCGTATTTATACGGTAATCAATTCAGTTTGGTCAAAACCCTTCGTCTGGCTGAACTCGATAAAAGATCCAACTTGAAGATTGATCTAATGGCGACTTTAAAAAACAAAGTACGATTATAAATTATTTACAAAGCAGGCAAAAAAAAACGTAAACGCCGATGCCTTATATCAAAAACCCATAGATTCATATAAACAAGCCCTTCCGATAGCAGGGAGCAGCTCGAGTGACGAAGATCTTTATGAACCAAGAAATAAACGATTTACTTTTCAAGAGTCCCACGAAAAACGAAGAATTGACTCTTCGGTAACGCAAAACGAAACATTTCAGAAAACCTTCACTACATACGACAAGATCAATGTAACTCGATACAAAGACAGAAATGATAACGAAACGTCAACAATACACGAAAACGAAACAAGCAACGAAATAGGAACGTTCGAACACATCGATAGCAATATCATAGAAATAAAAGACCGAATTAGAATGCATAACGGAAACATCGCATATTTTGTCACGATGAATGGAACACCTGTCGACAATGGGGCAAAAGAATTAGCTCTGACCACGGTGAATTACCCGTCATTACCAATGTAATTCTTGCCAGGGTATTGGTTACAAGAAAAAATGACAAAAGTTATTTTATAGCACTACCCGTCAAAGAAAGAATATCCTTCTCTATCCAGCTAGAAACGTTAGACGAAGCTGTTTATTCTCTACTTGACGCAGCTATCGAATTACAAATGAACACGATAGGGATAGCTGAAAGACCAGTGGCTGATATACCCTGGACCGACGTAAGACGAAAGATCCGTTCAATCTTTTCAGGAAGACAAACGAAAATAGTTATATTAAAACACGAAATAGTGATACCGAAAGAGATCGAACAAATTGAGATAATCCATAGTAATCACACAACTCCCATTGGAGGTCATAAAGGTTTATCAAAAACATACGTTAGAGTCCAATAAAAGTACTACTAGCCGAAATTAAAACACGACATCCAGAAGTTTATACAAAACTGTTGCAGCTGCCAATCTAAGAAGCTCATTAGTTTAAAAACGTATCAGCCGATGACAATCACAGACACCCTGAATGGCATTCGATAAAATTTCTATGGACATCGTGGGCCCGATGCCCATTACAAAATCAGGGCATAATTATATACTTACTATCCAAGATTTACTAACAAAATATTCAGTCGCGATACTTTTACAACAAGCTTTTTCGGAGGAAGTCGCAGACGCTCTCATAAAAAATATAATATGTAGATTTGGTTCACCGAAAGACATTCTAACCGACCAGGGCACTAATTTTCTGTCAGAACTCATGAAGGCAATCGCAAAGAAATTTAGAATCAATCAATACCAAACTAGGGCGTATCACTCGCAATCGAATGGATCAATAAAAAGATCACATCATGTACTGACCGAATTCTTAAAACATCATATTCAAAGCAACAGTGACTGGGATCATTGGTAAAATATAGTGACATTCTCATATAACACTAGCGTGCACGAGGGAACACATTACAACTCTCACGAATTAGTTTACGGGAGGTTAGAAAGGACTCCGAACGAATCAACTTACAATGACGTTCAAAACGAAACATATACACATTACTTAGGAGAATTAAACGAACAAATAAATCCCAAGAAGCAGTTCGACGAAATTTAATTAATGCAAAGAATAAGTCGAAAATCTATTACGACAGAAAACAAAAATTGTTAATTTTAAGGTAGGCGATCCTGTGTACCTCCTTAAAGGTACGAATAAAGAGAAACTTGACGACAAATACATAGGACCATACAAAATTATAACTGTAATGAATAAATGCAATGCAAAGGTACGCACTCCGACAGGCACTCGCATAGTGCACGCTAATCGACTAAAGGTCGATAAATCGAAATAAAATGTCGATCAATCGCCGTCATGAAAATCTACAGCACCGATCTATGATATTTGCAAGCGCAGCATGGCACAAGAGTCATTCTCCCTTCCATGACGACGATCGTCAAGTAAGATCCCCATCATTACGTTAGCTGTTAAATCTTAGATATAAGCAGCGCAGGCTTAGCTCCGAGCATCATTCATTCGTCGACGCGTAAACCTCTTACTAGTAAGCACAATAAAACTTATAATAGCTCTTACCTTTATAAGTACCATAAACGCATTAATAGTGTACGACTGTGCCGGCAGTTTGTTAAATATCTCAACGTTCTCCCTCTTGGATGTGGCTGAATGTGAAGTACCGGATCTGCAACCAAGGAACAACTCGATAACTGTTGCAAGCTTCGGATTACGATACAGCAAGAATCCAACAATGTCGAATCGAAATAGATTGAATAATTTATCACTGTGGAATGCATTCACACGTCTCGGCGGTCCACAATGGGTGTAGGAAGTATTTGTATTCACTCACTCAACAACTATGTCAGTAGATGCATGCAACGGGAAGTCTTCTTTTGGGTCACAACACGTTTATCTCCGGATTAAAGAAAAACAGTATCGATACAAGGAGTTTCATATTAAGCGGCTCTATTTCTACCGATGGCACATGCAAAAAAACCTTTGCGCTCACACGACTAATGGTTTCTCACTGTGCGGGTATATTCTGCCACGCATAGAGCACCCAAAGCTATAAATACTAGAAACATCTCCTGGTAGAATTTTCAAGAATAAAACAAGAACCTCTGTGGAAAACCGAGACATATTCGCATATGTAAATTCAAAATTCATCTACGTAGAACGAGACATCAAAACGTAACCAACCACTCTATATATAGACATCATGAGACAAAAGTGCATCCTGGAACAAGTCTTGAAAATTGCACTTTCACTAATATCCATCGCACCAGATGAAATGGCCTATACGATAATGAAGAAACTTGGATATATGGTCATTCCCGCAGCCGAAGTAATACACTTAATTAAATGTATACTAACCGAAGAAAAAATAAGGCAAGTGGGGGAATGCTACAAGGAACTTTCACTTACACACAACTCGTGCTTTTGTTGGAACAACTTATAGGTGATTTTCGTGATGGAGCATCTTTAACACTAGAACTACCGACCGGTCAAAATAACCAATTATATTAATTGTTCACAAGATCATGTCTTGAAATTTCATTTAATATTTTATAATAATATTATGACTTTTACTAAATTCATGTATTTAACATATATTCTAAATTATTTTGATCGTTCACTTAAATTTTTCTGATATACATATGTGATATACCTATATATAATCAAAATGACCGGTCGGTATTTTTAATGTTTCTAATACGGCAATCCGCCACTACGGCGTCAGCCAATGGAAATTACCGGCAAAATTACTGCTTTGAAATCACTGGGTTTTCTCTAATTCTCGGAATTTTTTAATGTCTTGTGATACTTTTTTATTTTCTTATTGATAATTGTTGTATACAGTTGAAATACCTACATTCAGTACAGTATTCAGTCATTTTTTTATTGGCAGTTTTTGTATACGGTTGAAATATTTTTAATATTGTGAACAATTGTGCTGAATATATTTCTTTCAATTTATAGTTATCGTAGCTTGAAATGTAAGTAAATTGTGAATATTTTTATTATAATAAGGGAAAATATATTTAGAATATTTTTATATAGAAATTTTACCCTAAAAATACCGAGATGTCCGAAAATACCTAAAATTTTAGAGATCATAACAAATATAAGAGAAGACTTTTCCGATATCGACCAAGGTGATTTTGACCCTAAGATTGGACCAGCAGATATTTCAGAGGATCAATCAGAAGAAGAAGTGTGTGTTTCCACAGACAGCAATAGTGAAGAAGAGAACATCCTGAATGTACGTGGATCAAGAAGACTTTTGAGATTGTCGTTCTTTTCGGATGAAAATGACCGTGAACAAACTGAAATTGCTCCTGATGGAACTATCTGGACAAAAATAAAAGCTGGATCTACTCCAGGAAGGAGATTAATAAATAGTATTTTCAAAGCAGTAATTGGACTCACAGCATATGCAAAACGAAGAGTAATGAAGGGCACTATAAGTAGAGCTTTTTTTTTATAATTAATCGACAAGTGATGGATTATGACATGGATTAGATGGATTAGAACATGCACAAAACTAGAAGCTTTTAGAGTTCTTGGTGAAAAATGGGATCTATCTCAAGAAAAGTTTTATGCTTTTCTTGCAATTTTATATGCACGTGGTGCTTATGAAGCTAAGAATTTGAAATTATCTTATTTATGGTCTAAAAAGTGGGGACCATTTTTTGGTCTAAAAAGTGGGGACCGTTTTTTTCGAAAACTATGAGTAGAAAGGAGTTTAAGGATATTTTAAAATTTATCCGCTTCGATAACAGAAATGAACGGAATGTACGATTGCAATCGGATAAATTTGCATTAATTTCAAATGTTTGGTATTCATTCATTGAAAATAGCCAGAATTGTTACGTACCAGGACAAAATATTAGAATCGACAAACAACTATTCCCAAGCAAAGCGAGATGCCGATTCACGCAGTATTTGCCGAACAAACCCGATAAGTTCGGAATAAAATTTTGGTTGGCATCTGATCTCAAAAGTAAATTTATAATAAATGGGTTCCCGTATTTGGGAAAGAACGAAACAAGACAGTCATCAATTCCTTTGAGTGAATTTGTCGTTCTGAAATTAATTGAACCATTTACCGGTGCTGGAAGAAATGTAACCACTGATAATTTTTTTACTAGCAAATCATTGGCATCAAAATCATGGAAAAACGGACTACTTTGGTTGGAACAATTCGTGCAAATAAAAGAAAATTGCCCAAACTGGCCAAACAAAAAAAAAATAATTTACCTCGATTTTCATCTGAAATTTATAAAACAGATAATTGCACTTTACAGTATATAAAAGTAAGGCAACGAAAAAAGTACTTCTACTGAGTACGAAACATAATTCAGTAAACATTGAAAAAGACAATAAAAAACTGCCTGAAACTATAATATTTTATAATAAAACCAAATTCGAGGTAGACATGACGGATCAGATGGCCAGGAAGTATAATGTGAAGTCAGAATCTCGAAGGTGGCCTCTTCAAGTATTTTTTAACATCCTCGACTCAGAGGCAATAAATGCCTGGGTTTTATACAACGAAACAACTGGTGAAAATATATCGAGGAAAAATTTTTTGTTTCAATTAGCAGAACTTAGCACAGACTATAAAGATCCATCTGAACTGGAAAACTTGAATGACCTCTTCAAGAGCCCCGAGAGTTCTAATATACGAAAAACTTGCCAAATAGGTTTTTGTAATGAAAATAAAACTATGAATATATGTGCTGGCTGTAAAAAACATGTTTGTGGTAAATGTACATCGAAAAAAATTTCTTTATGCAAAAATTGTGGTGATTCAAATAATAACTAAACCTAAATAAAAAACAAATAATAGTACTACCTTTTATGTAAATAGATGTATATATCATTTACTTGCAATATTAGAACAAAATACATTTTATTTTCTTTAAAACTTTTTTTTGAATGTTTATATTTTGCCAACTAAATATCAGACCAGTCAAAATGACCGGTTTGGTAGAAATAGGTATATAACAACTGTTGGTAGTTCTAGTGTTAATAGTTACAGCAGATCAAACAATAACAAAATGGACTATTATGTTTATTAAAGCTGTTGTAGATTTCAACATTAGATTCCACTCATAGGTACATTTTAATATCAAAATCAAAAACGTATAAAAAAGAAAGTATATTTTTTAATTATTTTAGCATTATTTTTCTAAATTTTCGGAGATAAGCCATACGTAGAGTGATGATGATTCCATGCATACCTGTATCGAATAGCATTATAAAAACAAATCCGTATATATCCAAAATGAATAGTGCATACACATGAGAAAATGGAAAGTTCATAATTCATACATTATTAAAGAAAAGTTGTAAGCAAATATATTTAACTTTAAAAATTTTTCGAAAGAATTTAATTGACCTTTTATTTAAATCATTTCAATTCTTTTATTTCAATTATTACAGAGAAATAAGTATGCGATTAAATAGGAATTCAATTAGCGTTAAATATGATTTTAATAGAAACAATATAAAAATTAAAATCTTAAGACTACGTTTTAAAGCAAAATATTATGAAATATATATAAAATGCCTACGATACTAAAAATCAACTATTATTCAAAGAAAAAAAATTTATCATCAATGGTTTTTAAAAATCTTATCCCGAGAAAATTGATTCAATTGTATAATTTAGTAATATTATCTAAATAGATTAATTGACGTTTGTTTACACTTGTGATCCGTGATTGACAATAAACACCATTTTTTGTTGTAATAATTATTTATTAAGAGAAATTATAAAAGATATATAATTCTAGTATGATACAAAGATTGTCACATGCTATTGTTAATGATGTGTCGATTTTTACTACTCGTATCCTCATAAATGAATACTCCATGTGCATGACGACATTAATTGATTAAGTTTTACTTATTTCATTAAAGAATTTATTTCAGGTAAAAAAAAAATATAAATCTTTTCGTTTTTGCAGTAGAATACAACCTGTTTAATGTAATAGTTTCCGCGGCTAAAAGGGAAGCATGCTACTTTTCGCTACTAAAAACAAACCGTACATCTTTTTACGACAGTCTACTAAAACATCCTTTTCGCTGCCAAAAGGCACAACATACTTTTCTTTGCTTGAATAAGTAAAAATAACCAAAAACTGATACATGAATAAAACTTACCAAAGATTTCGACACGATCTTTTTACAGAATTTACAAATCTTAAAATATTAAAAAATTAATACGAAAACATAATGGAAAGAAAATAGCAGAAATGTCGGAAACATAAATTATATGTAAGGATACAGGAGTTGAACCAGCTAACTAAAGATATTAATTTTACAACTATTTACAAAGTTATTTTAGGTACACAACAGGATTAAAATAGGAATACTGTGATGATATAGTTCAATGTAAGTATATAGTTTTTCCCATGGATTTGTTGTTAAATATTTAATCTTTTTAAGAAATTATTCTAAATTATGAAATAAAAAAAAATCGTACAGATGAAAATTAATTAAAAGATAATATAATAGTAATTTTCCAAAATAATCAAAATTACTTACATGACTTAGTTGAAGAATCATAAGTAAATGTTTCTAGTAAACATTAAGTGTAATTCTTTCAAATGTATCAAAATGTTTAGTCGTGAAAGTATATCAAACAGAATAAGTGTTGATGTGAGAGCTTTATTAAAAATTCTGAAATTCGAACAACTACTATTAAAAAGCAACAGTAATATAGGAAAAAGTAAGACAATACAAAAATCAAGTAAGTTGGTAAAACCATCAATAAATAAAAGACCAAATGAAAATAATACAATTTCTTACACTGCTTCTCTAGAAAAAGATTATCTATCGATACATCACTGGTTTATAATTTATTCGGCTGAATTTCGAATTATCTATTTGAAATTCTACCACTAAATTCCAAAGCTTTGTCCAAATCATTATTTACATTACATCACATAGAGGATAGAATATTCACCAACATCACTTAAGAGTTTGTTCGAATCAATTATTTACATCATAACATATAAAACAATAGAACCTCGATTTCCGAACATCGATTAGCCGGATAAATATTGAGGATATGTGGCGATCAGCGATATTAACATATATTAACATATCATTGTCAATTGATCTTTACTTTCTAAACCTGTATGTCGAAATGTAATCATACCGTTTTATCAATTCAAATGTAATGTGAAATATTAAGTCGGTTAAATAGTGGTAAAATAATAACTGAAATTGCAGCGTCTTGTGAAATTGGAATATCAAGAGTTTGACATTATAAGACGAAAGTGTGAAATTATATATAGTAAGTTGATCGCAGTGCACACAAAAAAATATAAAGTCTGTTAACAATGAAATTCTTGACATGGCTATGTATCAATGGTTTTGTCAAAAGAGAAGCATTGGATATCTGGGTCTATCGTATACGAAAAAGCTATAGTATAATCGAAAATTGAATGAAGATTGTAATTTCAAAACATTATCGAGTTGGTTATTAAATTTCAAATCAAGTTACGATATCGTAGACGTATGTCAGGCAAAAACCTTCATCGGATAAATCTGCAGCTTTAAAAAAGAGTTTATAGAATATCTAAGGAAAGAAGATTATCTGTTGGAAAATGTGTATAACGCAGATGAAACTAGCTTGTTATGGAAATCATTTTCGCAAAGGACATGTGTCAATATGAATGCTTAGCATCGAGTCATAAAATCAGTAAAGGTCGAATCATAGCTCTTCTCCCGTGACAAGAATCCTGTTCTATTAATTGGAAAAAGTAATAAGCCTCGATGTTTCAAAAGATGTATATTTAAGTACTATGCCTATTATATATATGTCCTAGAAAAGTGCTTAGATGAATTATAACATTTTTATTGAATAATTTTCAATGATTTTTATTCCAGCAGTGGAATAACGAACACTTAAAAACGGACAAATGAGAGAAAGTTATTATTGATAGATAACGCTGTTTACTATGTCAACGATGCTTATCAACAATATTTTTGGGATGAATTCTATTAACGTTTTTTGTCTATGGACAAAGAAGATTTTCAATTGTTTCACGCATCTCATTTGATGCTGTCGAAGTTCACAAAATAGGATTTTAAAACATATCAGTTTGCACTATTATCATCTACACACACGCAAATATTACCTTCCATTTAGAAGTAATTTTAACTCCTTAACCTACAATATCGTACAAGGTAACTCCAACAATGTAAGAGTGCACAAAATGTAAAATTGCATTACATGTACCAATATGCTTCGAAAGATACCACATGATGCAAGAATATTAAATTTTTGTACATTTTAACAAGACGCTTATAATTTAAATTGTGTATATTTAAAAATTGTAATAAAATATTGTATTAATTTATTATTCACTTTAAGATAATAAATATTTCTTGTTCAATGATCAATTGGCAGTTATTATTTATCAAACATCTTGCAAAATAAAATTAGTTGTACCTTACACATACATTTATATATCAAGAGACATGTACAATTTGCACAACTTCGAACGCTTAGCCTAATCGTGAAAAAGCTCGATATGTGACTGTTCTTGTTGTTGCTTATGCCAATATGCTATTGGAACTTAAATCGTAAGGCAATAAAATTTGGTTGCGATAACTTAGGCTTAACGTTTTTTGTAAAATATTTCTACATCCAAATTTACTATAAATATTCTAAACCACTTTTTGTATGTTGAATCATCTACTGCATTCTGTGGCTCCATATAAAAGACAAATTTCCTCACGAATTTACCACAGGTTTTTGCATTTTCGGTAATAGAAAAAACAAATTTGACGAAAATATCCTTTATTTTCTAACATATTTAATATTTCCCCAAAAAAAAATTATGGTTAACTGATCACAAAACAAAATTTTATTAAAATAATGCCAAAAGTCACTTTTATGGAACGAAAAATAATATTTGCATACGTAAAGTTGATAAAGGTTTTAAAAGTTATTTTCCGTCAACAAGTGGAGAAAACAGAATGAATAAATTTATATATTTATATATTACAAAGAAAATTTTCTATGGCTACACCCATCCTTATTTTTTACATTGTTGATGTCCATAGAATAGAATCTAATATATTGGATAGTATATTATATAATATATTATTGATGTATAAATACATGTATGTAACTGAAACAGAACTGAGTGGTGAAACTGCATTCTGTACTGAAATAACGGAGCGGAGACGGAACGGAAATAAAACTAAGATTGAACTGAAATATGTGAATCGATCTATAAAAGCTAAACATGAGAAATACGATTGAGAACAATGGTTTAATTTTCACAGATGTACTTCCATACCATCTTCCAAAGCAAAATATTAATCTTATTGTTGCTCTCTACTGTCCGTGTTTAAATACATTTAAGAAAAAGCCTGATGTAATTTTTAAAAAGAAATAAGAGTAAGGAAAAATGTGCTGACATAATCGCAAATAGTAAAATAGTAAATGTTAGTATTACAGATAACGATCGTCTAAATGTTTTTAACACTAACCATACAACAGTATCTCAAATGACCGGTTTTGGATTTTGAATACAAATTCTGCATTCATTGTTATTTTTTTCTCTATTTGATTTATAAGTATAATTCCTATATTAATATAACTATGATTTCTATAATATCCATTTAATAATTTTATCAATATTTACGCTTGCTTTTATTTTGTTTATTCTGAGAAAAATATGTACTTTGTCATATCAACCGTAACAAATTAAATGACCATTTGTAAGAATGACAATAAAGTAGGCATATGAGATTTGATCTAAACAAAATCATTCAAATTATTCTCGAATATTATTATCGTACATACTGCTACATCAAAAAACAGTCTAATTTTGATAGTTCCAAATAGAGCATTACAGTGTGAAAATAATAAGAAAAGAGAAAGTGAACAAAACTTAATAGTTAGTTTACATTTTATTTTACTGTATTGTTCTAATATTTACTAATATTTCTAATATTTACTCCTGAACATGACAAGACGTTCAATAAAGAAGATACCAGTGAAAGAGATAAACGATATAAGTAAGGGGCATTTAGAAGACGATAAAGATAAATTTTCTAAAATTCAAGATAACCAAATTCTAATTGGATATAATTTATTCGAAACTAATAATAAATGCTTAAATAATGAGGATGAAGAAAGGAACATTTTGAACAAACAGGAGATAAAAGGGAAGAGGATTTCCGTCAAGTTCTGAAAATGAGACTGAAGAAAATGACTAGGACATTGAAGTTGCTATTAATGAAATTGTATGAGAAGAAATACAAAAAGGGTTCAAGATTTGGACGGCCATTACCAAATCCAACGGTATACACAAAAAAAAACATTATGAAGGATTAAATAAGAACTATATTTGCCTTGATAATTATTATTGAACTCATGCAAAAATGCACAGAACTAGAAGTAAATCGAGTGTTAGGAATTACATGGAATCTACCTCCAGCAAAATTAAATACATTTCTTGTTATTTTGTAAGCACGTAGAGTATATGAAGAAAAAAATTTGAACATTTCATGTTTGTGGAATAAGAGGTGGGAGACTACATTTTTTCCAAATACGACAACTAAGAATTGTTTTATACAAGTTTTTTAATTTAATCAATGAAAAAAGTATTCGAAGCCAATGTCTACAAACTAATAAATATTCTTTAATTTCTGAAGTATGGAATGAATTTATTGAAAATAGCTAAAATTGTTAGAAGCTAGCCATGAATTTTACCGTTAAAAAACAACTGTTTCCAACTAATACTAGATGCAGATTCATACAATATATGAAAGATATTTTTTATAATCCTACCTATAAGATATGGACTAACTAACTCGTATCACTTATTCTGGTTACAACTCAAAGTGTTACAATTTAAGTACTATAATCCTTTCCTCTTTCCCTAACTTGATCAAGGCTTTAATTGTTACTCTTTGTTTTGTACAACGGAAATCTGCTTGCAGTATGAAAAATATACGTGAGGAAAGTACTTAGTAGAGCAACCATTGATTTGTAAAACTGTGGTATAGAAAAAGAAAAAAATTTTATTACAATGCTGTTTTTATGTTTATTGGTTTTTTTTTACAAAGATTAAATTTTTATACATGAGAATGAAAGTTTGTTTATATTTGTTATATTTTAATGTATCATCTATCTATAAATTCAGTCTACATAGCAATCATAATAACATCTTCAGAGAGGGATAACACATAATATGTATTAAATATAAACCACAATGAAATATATTTTCATGACTTTAAATCACTCACTTGGATATTTAATTACAAATTCAGTTGATATCTCAAATTTGATTGGTGAAATCAGATTAATTTAATACTATTGAAAATTGTGTAAACTTAGTAACTGTTTTTGAATATTAATAAGAAAAGCCAAAAGCTTGATATAGCAGAATATCATTAAGAAACTAAAATACATTCAAGAATATGAAGAAATTAATGAAGAAGAAACAGATGACAATGAGGATTATGCAATAAGTGTAAAAGCAAAATGCGGTTCGTTGGAAAGAGCCAAAAAATTGTGGGGAGCTGAAGAAGAGAAATGCTGCAAGTTCTGTAGTAAAGAGGAAGATTCTATTGAATACTGGGTGAATGAATGCGAAATGGTGAATAGAATGTGGTTACAGGTAGCAGAAGTTCTCAGTGCTGAAGGGACGTAAAAAGCGATAAAGTGGTTAAAAGGAATAATTAAGAAAAAGAGGGATATTAAAAAAAGCAGATATGGACGAAAACGGACAAATGTGTGCTAAGTTACGAAAAGATGTGCAGGGTACAGTAAAGATTGAGAAAGCCAAAACACTTGATCTTAATATGGAGGTGATATAATTTATTTTAACGAAGTAGTGCAGATGTAAGTTAGTTGGAGTACTAACATGATAGCGGAAATAAAAATATGATGTTTGAATTAATCAGTTCAATTTGATTTAATAATTTAATTTAATATAATGCTTATTAAGTCCTATGTGTGGTTATATATTATATATATTATTATATATAAATATTAAAGCATGTATTATATAATACATTATATTATGTTATATTGTATAGTAAAGATTATAAACTGATAATGATAAGAAGCAATATAAAGATTATATCAAATGAGATTCCACTTATATATTCATAACCTATATTCATATCCTATTTCTGGGCCTGAAATGAAAACTAATATAAATAGAATATAATATAA